CAGTCACTCACACTTTATTGTGAATCCGCCCCAGAGCCAGGTGTGTCACCATGCAGCACATTTTTACGTGGATAAAAAGTATTTAGTAAAACGTCCTACCGGTTTCCTCTCTGTTTCATGGTATGTGTTGACAACTGCAATGAAATATTTTGGGGCGGACATGTATTGATGTATTGGTGGCCCATTCTCGACTCTGTCCTCCCCGGCCACTGGAAGACCCATTGGGGGTGTTTCTGCATCCGGATCCCCAGTGCCTGGCGTGGTGCTCAGCACACACTGGACTCTGCGGATTATTGGAAGGGAGGGAGGGGGGAGGGAGGGAGGCTTTCTTTCTCTGAGGGGACTGCTGCTAAGAGCCCAAAGCTCCATGTGCAGTGAGGATTCGCATTTCCCCACATCACAGTGCTGTCCTTGGCCCTTCACTGGGGTTCACCCATCACCGCCAGGTGCTCCCCCTGCACCCCAGCCCTGCTTTAGGTGCTGGTCGGATACGAAGAAGCAGCCCCAGGAGGGTGCCCAGCCCCTGCCCAGCTTCAGGACCCCTGGCAGGCTCCTCTGAGCCCCGGTTGTTTTCATCACCCACAGTGGGGCTGAGAGCAGCACCCTCTAACCTGGGGTGGCTTGAGGGGCTGAGACAGGATCCTGCCCATCGGAGCTTCTCTGCACAGCAAGGCCGGGGCTGGGTGTACCCTCCCCCGGCGTCCCTGTGGCCCTGCCACCTGAGGGTCTGGCCCCCTTCTTAGCCCAGGCTGTGTGACACAGCTCCCCTTCTGTGTCCTTTACTGGGCTTTCCTCTTCATCTCCCGAGCCTTAGCGGGAGATGTGGGAGTTGCCTCTGTTTCTCCCACACCATCTAGAAGGGTTAGAATTGCTCATTAGCCCCTTGGGGGGCACCTCTGTAAGTGGCAGCCCTAGGCGGTGTCACCTCCCTTGCCTTGCCTGGTCTCATCAACTCCATCAAGGAATCTGGGGGAGGCCTCCCTGGAAGGTGCCAGGTGCCCCTCTGCCTCTCTCCTCCCCGGCGAGGGGCTGAGGGCCTGGGGGAAGGAGGGCTGGGCAGTGGGGAGGAGGCTGTGGTGGGCGGGGACAAAGCTCCGGAGTGCCCCACCCCCCATCCCACGGTGGCCTCCAGATCCCCAAGAGAGGAAGGGCCCTGGAAACCTTTGCCTGAAGCTGCTGGGGAGATTAGGCCCTGACCTCCGAGGGAGGCACCCTCAGGGTTTCCTCCCCGCCAGCGGGGAGCCGGAGGAAGCGGGATGTGGAATCCTTGTTTCCAGAGAGCGGCTGCCGTGGGAGTGGGCGGTTCAGAACTCAGGATTCAGCCCCCTCCCTCGGGGCGGGCAGCGTGCAGTTCAGGTATTTGAGACCCCGCCCCATCCCCACGCTGGCTCTCGCTCCCCTCTCTCGTGACGTCAGGCTCCTCTCGCGGGGCATGATGGGAGAATCCTAATGTTTTCCAACAGATGCTCCAAGAACAGCTTTCAGATTAAAGCAATCGCCAGAGCAAAGATTCTTCTTTTTTCCTTTTTTTTCCCCCGGGGGGTGGGAGGTGGGGTGGGGGGAGGGAGCGCCCCCAGAAATTCTCGGGCATCACCCCCTGCCCCAAGCACGCAATAAACACTGACAAGAAAAAGTTTTTATTTCCTGGTTCAACTTTTTTTTTTTTTTCCTGGAATATAGACTGAAGAATGGGAATAAACACGAATAAATAACAGAGCGAGGCCGCGCACGCCGGGATGCGCCTGGCTGCAGCCGCGAGGCTATTGTCTCACTGCCCTGAAGCCAGCCCCGGCCTCGTCCTCCGGCTTCTTCCCTTTCCCTGTCCTTTTTGATTTTCCTTTTTAAAAAGACGCCCCTCCAGTCCCCTGGCCAGTGACCTTGGCCTCCTCGGATGCTCTGATTACACGCGGCTCCCTCCAACTTGCCCCCGCGCCGGCCGGGCTCATGGCCGCGTCCGAGGACGGGAGCGGCTGCCTCGTGTCGCGGGGCCGCTCGCAGAGTGACCCCAGCGTCCTCACCGACTCCTCGACCACGTCCTCCGCGGACGCCGGGGAGAACCCAGGTAACGGGGTGGGCGGGAGAGGGCGGGGAGGGCCGGGGCAGGGGGCGCTGGGCGCCAAGTCCCCGGCGCTGCTGCGCGCCCGGGCTGCATTTGCGGAGCCGCGGCAGGACCCGGTCGCTCAGGCTCCCCGTAAGGCGGCGGAGCCCTTTGTCCGGGGAGGAGCCGGTTCCCCGGGTAGAGCCCGGCACTCCGCATCTGCCCTCCTTGCGGGTTGGTGGGATCTGCTGGCCCCTCCGAGGGGCTTCCCTTCTTTGGGTGCTGACCAGCTGGGGGCCGGGAGTCAGACCTGTGGCCGCCTCTACCAGCGCCGGCTCCGAGCTCTGCTTCCCTCCCCCGCGGCCCCAGCTCCGGTGGCCCAGGCGGCCCGGCTGGGGCGTCCCCCGCCCGGGCAGGGCAGCGCTTATGCGGCCGCCGCGCAGAGGGGTTCCTCGGGGCGCCCAAGTCGGCGGGGCCTGGCGCACCTGGGCGCGCCCGCCCGCCTCTCGGGACAGGTGTGCTGGCAGAGGTGCCACTGGGAGATGAAGGGCATGCGTGCACCCGGACGGAGCCTGATTTCATTAAATTATATGGACTTCGTTCATTCCCCCACCCCCCGCGGCAGCGTCGATTGTTTAGGTGATAAATCCGGTCACAAAGGAGTCTATACGGCTTGATTGATTACTTTCCAAAGAGGAAGAAAGGCCTAATAAAGCAGGAGGGGGGTGGTGGGAGGTGGGCTGTGCGCCCCGTCACCATGGAGACGCAGGAAGCAAAGTGATCATTAAAACCTTTCTCCACCAGAAGGCAATTTTCACTTCACAGGGAGAAGTCTGAGCTTCTGAAATGTAGGGTTCAAAAAAAGAATCAAAGCTGGTGTTTTGGTATCACGCCACAGGACTCCATTCGAACCTTAGAGGAGCACCATCCTGTCACAGGTTCTGTTTTGACAATAAGTTGCTCTGACCTTCCTTTGAGGATTGTCCCTCTCTCAATTCACTGACCCCGGATGGGGACTTGATCACGCTAAATGGTGGGCATCAAACTCCAGATACTCCCTGGAGCTGGGGTGAACCGGCTTTGTGGGGAGGGATTCCTTCACTTCGCTGGAACACCGAGGAGCTTCACTATTTAACTGCAAAGAAAGACGGGTTAAAGGCAGCTCTGTGGGCGCCAGGGCCCAATCTGAAATTTTAAACAATAAACCCATGCAAGGCTTGTAAGATTTCTTTGTTAGGACTATTGACACTGTCATTTGGTCAAACTAAGGTACCCACCGGTGGAGATCCCTGGCTTTTTTTTTTAGATCTGGGAGGGCGTTAATTTCCTTGGCGTTTCAAGCAGAGGCAGCTATAGACAGACCCTTAAGGCTTTAATTAATCCATTTATTAGAAATCTGGGATTAAGCCCTCAGCACTCCATGATGGATTGGTTTTCTCTGTGTTGGAGATGCACATCCATGATTGTTCCAATTATGGAAGTTGGGTGGCTCGTCATGAGAAAATCCTTTTCAGCTCCTTTTGTCTCCCTGGCAGTAAAAAGGAAGCAAACTTGAAACAGGAATTATGGAGGATTTAGCTTTTTGGCTATCTGTGAGTTGATGCCTCCGTGGGTGGGAACAGAGGGCTTGACAGGTGTCTTATGCAGGTCCACCTGGGAGAGAGGTGGAAGGGCTTGGATGTCCGTGATTAAGTGATACCACGGGAGGCTGACAGCCTGAGTTCGTCTCTGGTTCAGATGCTCAAAATGGGACCCAGCGAGCAGATGCCCGGGGTAAAAAAGTCTCTAGTAGGTATAATTCTGTGAGTGGTAGAACCTTACTAAAAAGCAAAAATAATCAAGTATTTAAGGATTGTGTTAAGCACAGGAGTTCACGGTAGAAAGAGATTCAGAATCTTCAAGCTGGAAGCGACCTGGGAGCTTGAAGGGGGAAGGGTGGATTAGGGGAGCATTATCTACAACTGCTTTGCTTGGTTGGCTTGGCATGTGTTCGCGTGCCTCTTTTGATGGGGGACTCACTTCTTTTTGATGCAGTGCATGCTTCTCTTTGGGCAGCCCCATTTAAAAAGTCTTTTTCAAAGGGTTTGGGAAGGTCTGCTAGCAGTTCTGATGTGATCTTCTCATGATGCATGGTACCTGGGTTTTCAGAGAGTCTGGTGTTGTGAGTTAGTTATCGCGCCCACCTGAGTCACTTTTTCACTAGGTGGTTGAAGAGTCCCAGCCCTTCGACTCCCTTGCCCTGTAGGACCTCTCGCATTTGTCCACCTGCTGCTCTAAAGAGCTGCTTCTGAAATGTGAAGCTCGCAAGCCAGCTGTGGAATAACCCAGTGCAAAGTCAGAAGTGTCACCTCCTTCCATCTACATTCTATGATTTTATAAAAACAGCCCAAGGTTGCATTTACCTTTTCCCCCTCCAAAATGCATCCTTAATGCATCAATATTCTCAGCACAAAAACTCAGAACGTTATGGGAAAGGTAAGCAAACCCCTTTCTGCCCCTCTCCAGAGGTTATCTCTGTGACGAGTTCCGTGGAGCATCTGGACCTTTCCCTAAATGTTTATTCCCTACATGTTTAGACCTACAGGTTCTTGGGGAAAAAGGCATTTAAAAGAACTCAAGTGGTAACACACTGTATGGAAGGTTCTTCCATTTGGGTTTCTACTCAACACTGGGTCTCGGAGATCTCCCTTTCTTAATAACCACATAGTGTCCCAGGGAATATATTTTTCTCAGTTGAGCTATTAGATATTTGTGTTTCCAATTTTTAACTATTACAAGCAGCACAGCGGTGGTCATCCAGGCAAAGCCTTCTTGTGCTCCTTTGTGAATTTCCTCTAGGGTATATCTGGGTCACAGGAGACTCACAAGCAGCACAGCGGTGGTCATCCAGGCAAAGCCTTCTTGTGCTCCTTTGTGAATTTCCTCTAGGGTATATCTGGGTCACAGGAGACTCACATTTAAAACTTTTCTGATATTGTGTCCTCCTGGAAAGTGGACCATTGATGCTCCTTCAGAACCTGAGAGCACCCTTTCTCCAAAGCCTTGCCAGCACCTGAGGTCATCAATCTGGTTTTCTCTCACACGAAGGGTGACAGGGGGTCTCTCGTGTTTATTTGCGGCTCTTTGACTGCTGGTGAGCGTGAACATCTTTTTGTGGCCTTATTAGTGCGTTAAATCTCTCAGCGGCCAGGGACTGCGTGGCAGGGCTGAAAGATTTTCCCAGAGGGTCACCCTAATGCTCCTTCCACACCGTTACTCCATTCACGATTCTTTTGGCAGCTTTACAGGGTTCTTCACTGCAAATCCTTACTCTGTACCCACAAGCATGGTTAAGATTTTCCCTAAAACTTAACATTTAAAAAAGGCAACTCGGGGCTTCCCTGGTGGCGCAGTGGTTGAGAGTCCGCCTGCCGATGCAGGGGACATGGGTTCGTGCCCCGGTCCGGGAAGATCCCACGTTCCACGGAGCTGGGCCCGTGAGCCATGGCCGCTGAGCCTGCGCGTCCGGAGCCTGTGCTCCGCAACGGGAGAGGCCACAACAGTGAGAGGCCCGCGTACTGCAAAAAAAAAAAAAAAAAGCAACTCGGCATCCCATCACCTTGCCTCCCTCCGAGGGGTTCATACTCGCGAGAAGTTTTGCTTTTTCTCGTTCCATTAGCTCTCAGGCCATGGGATGGGCTCTGTCCTGGTGTTGGTCCCATGTGGACCTCCTTCTGGTCCGAACCCACGTCACCTCCTCACCTTGTCCCTTCACTGCTGTCGCCGCTCATCCCCCACTTCCTGACACCCTCTCCTGCCTGGGTTTTCCCTGCATCCCACGGCATGTCTTCCCAGCCCATCGCATGGGGGTTCCCACAGGGCCTTCCTCCTCCACTCTCAGCTCTCTCCCTGGTTCCCAGATGCCAGGACCAGAGACTGAGCCGAGTCACCCCGGACAGCTGTTTCGAATGTTTCCGTGGGGACTGGCAATTTGTCTTTTTTAAAGATTCTGCTGTGCAGCCAGGTGGGGGACCCTTTGATCTAGAGCAGGTTTCTCAACCTCAACACAGTTGACATTGGTAATGGGATCCTCCTCTGCTCTGGGGGCCATCCTGTGCATTGTAGGATGTTTAGCAGCCTCCCTGGCATCTGTCCACTAGACAACAGTAGCACCCCAGTGCCTGGTTGTGACCATCGAAAAATGTCATCAGACGTTGCCAAATGTCCCCTGGGGGCAAAATCTCCCCGGAGAACTGCTGACGTAGCTCTTTCATTGTCAAACCCTAGCGTGTATCAGGATCGCCTGGAAGGGTCGTTAACCGCCACCCCCAGTGTTTCCACTTCAGCCTGTGCGGTGGGTGCCGGTGATGTGCATTTCTAACACGTGACCAGGTGAGGCAGATGCTTCGGGTCAGGTGACCATACCTGGGGACCCATTGAGCCTAGTCCTTTGCCACGGTCTCAGTCTCTGCTGACCAGTTCCGTGTGTGTGTGTGTGTGTGTGTGTGTGTGTGTGTGTGTGTGTGTGTCTGCGTGGGTGTCCGCATGTGTGTCCGTGTGGGACCTGCCCTTACCTGCCTGGCTCCTGAGCTCCAGACCTCTGGGTCCTGCTGACCTCTGCTTGCCCAGGTCTCGGGCCGATCTTACCTCCTCAGAGGGTCCTCTTTGTTCACCTGATGAGACGAATTAGCTACTGCCCCCACCGCCCAGATCCCCTTCCTCCGTCCCGATTTGCTCATGATCACCACCTGGGACTCTGGGCTCACTCTCGGTGGGCCGGCCTCCCTAGGCCAGGAGCACAGCACAGACTTCGCCCACAGGAGGCCTCGGTAAGCATCTGTGGAACCAGGCACAGTGTCTTAGTGGACGAGGCCTGGGGCTGGCCAGATGGCTGGCCAGGGCCTCCGTGGATAAGCAGCTCAGTGGCGGCCCGAGAGTGGCTGGCAGGTCAGTGTGGAAGAGGCTGGGACCACGTCTTTCTGCAGGGACAGGTCCACCTCTGCTCATGGCCTGGAGACAGAGAAGCCTCTCAGAGCATCCACTCC